TTACACTAAGCTTGTGCATGTTACACTGAGCTTGGTGCATGTCACACTAAGCTTGTGCATATTACACTAAGCTTGGTGCATGTTACAATGAGCTTGGTTCATGTTACACTAAGCTTGTGCATATTACACTAAGCTTGGTGCATGTTACAATGAGCTTGGTGCATGTTACAATGAGCTTGGTGCATGTTACACTGAGCTTGGTGCATGTTACACTGAGCTTGGTGCATGTTACACTGAGCTTGGTGCATGTTACACTGAGCTTGTGCATGTTACAATGAGCTTGGTGTATGTTACACTAAGCTTGTGCATGTTACACTGAGCTTGGTGCATGTCACACTAAGCTTGTGCATATTACACTAAGCTTGGTGCATGTTACAATGAGCTTGGTTCATGTTACACTAAGCTTGGTGCATGTTACAATGAGCTTGGTTCATGTTACACTGAGCTTGTGCATATTACACTAAGCTTGGTGCATGTTACAATGAGCTTGGTTCATGTTACACTGAGCTTGTGCATATTACACTAAGCTTGGTGCATGTTACAATGAGCTTGGTGCATGTTACACTGAGCTTGTGCATATTACACTGAGCTTGGTGTATGTTACACTAAGCTTGCTGCATGTTACAATGAGCTTGGTTCATGTTACACTGAGCTTGGTGTATGTTACACTGAACTTGTGCATGTTACAATGAGCTTGTGCATGTTACACTAACCTTGTGCATGTTACACTGAGCTTGTGCATGTTACACTGAGCTTGGTGCATGTTACAATGAGCTTGGTTCATGTTACACTGAGCTTGTGCATATTACACTAAGCTTGTGCATATTACACTAAGCTTGGTGCATGTTACACTGAGCTTGGTGCATGTTACACTAACCTTGTGCATGTCACACTGAGCTTGGTGCATGTTACACTGAGCTTGGTGCATGTTACACTGAACTTGTGCATGTTACACTGAGCTTGGTGCATGTTACACTGAGCTTGGTGTATGTTACAATGAGCTTGTGCATGTTACAATGAGCTTGGTTCATGTTACAATGAGCTTGGTTCATGTTACACTGAGCTTGGTGTATGTTACAATGAGCTTGTGCATGTTACACTGAGCTTGGTGCATGTTACAATGAGCTTGGTTCATGTCACACTGAGCTTGGTGCATGTTACAATGAGCTTGGTTCATGTTACACTGAGCTTGTGCATATTACACTGAGCTTGGTGCATGTTACACTGAACTTGTGCATGTTACACTGAACTTGTGCATGTTACAATGAGCTTGGTGTATG